AGCTGCTCGGCACCCGCTCCTCCAGCCGATGAGGGGCCACTCTGACCCGGCCTCTCCTGCATCACCACCCGCCTGCGGAGAAACACGACAAGGGAAGGGAACAGCCCAGAAATAACCGAAGCGGACACCCGCGGGCTTCCCACGGCCCCCGCAGAGTCCCGCGTGCTGGCCCAGGGTCCGGCTCCTGCCTCCCGTCAGATTTCAAATCCACAGCATGTTTGTTTGGTTGTTTTTTTTGTTTTTTTGAAAAATATACTTTCTTAGTAATGTTCCATAAAAATACTCTTGTCCCTGGTAACGGATATTGCAGTGTGAAGAGTAACAGCTTCTGTTCCCGCTCTATAAAACGTGGAAAAGGCATCACGCCGATTAATGTAGAAAAATGCAAGAACTCAGTATCACAAGAGCCGGTACAAAACAAGGAAGGTGAGAGTTTCACTGGACGCCGGACTTGTCCCCGTGGACTTGTCCGCACCCGCTACCATCACGGGGAACGCGAGGGCAACCGTCTTGCAGTAGCAGGCAAAGGAGGCAGCTCCTGCCTGCAGCATCAGGGATGGGACAGACCGACGTCTCTGGAAATAGCCTTGTAGAGTTTCAAAAAAGATGCTCCGTGCCGTTTTCTTCCTTTTCAAAAAGGAGGTGGATGATTGCAGTTTCAATCTAGGGCATTTCTGCATAAAATGCATCATAGTTTGATGTACCTATTCAATTGCGACAGAGAGCATGAAGACAGATGGTGCCAAAAAGCATCTAATAATAAATAGATCTGGATACAGGTATATACTCCGTATACGGATATGAAATGCCTAACCGAGGAACGATCCCAGCCCTTCGGCACCGACTCCTCTCTCCTCCCAGCAGCGGACGTCTCTCCTCACTCACCAGTCCAGTGCAACACCGAAGAGACTCCACCTTCTTAAACAAGGTGGGATTTGCCCAGAGAGGAGAGGGGAGAGAGGCGGCAGCGGGTCTCCAGGGGTGCCGGGGGGGTTGACGAGCTCCGTGCCTCCCCGGCAGGAAGGCCGAGTGTGCAAAAGGAGACAGGGTGCAAGGGGGGGGGTCAGAACCGATGCTCCGCAGTCACCCTCAGTTCTCGGAGAGCGACAGAGCCAGGGCAGCCTGCAACGCTGCCTCCTCGTCAATGTTATAGTCCTAAAGGAAAAAAAGAGAGGGGCCGTCAGGAGAGCTGGCACGGCCGGGGCACACAGCCTCTGTCGGAGCTTCGCCCTGGCTCCTTAACCCCAACGTTGCAAGCTTCCACCTCCTCTGGCAAA